GCGGCGGACACGGGAAGCACTGGCACGACTGCAGGCGGATGGCGAAAGATTTAAGGTGCTCTGGGAAGGGCTGCAGGGAGCAGCAGCGCCAGATTCCTTCTCATACCCACTATCTGAGGAGAGACACATGTTAACCTAAATGAAACTCAGCGGCATATTTCAGAGCGTGTAAGGAATAATGTATAGCACTCTCCACAGAATGAACACAATTTCAGATCGCTATCCCTTCATTAAACAAATGCCAATAAACCTATAATACTACTGTTTTCAATCTCAAAATCTGAGTGTTAAAATACCCTTAGCCACCTGGCAGGCTGTGGAAGAGATGAATGGAAAAGAAATCAGTGGTAAAGTCATATTTGTAGGCCGTGCTCAGAAGAAAGTGGAACGGCAGGCAGAGTTAAAACGGAAATTTGAGCAGCTGAAACAGGAGAGAATTAGTCGATATCAGGGGGTGAATCTCTACATTAAGAACTTGGATGACACTATTGATGATGAGAAATTAAGGAAAGAGTTTTCTCCTTTTGGATCAATCACCAGTGCTAAGGTGATGCTGGAAGATGGAAGAAGCAAAGGGTTTGGCTTCGTCTGCTTCTCATCTCCTGAAGAGGCAACCAAAGCAGTCACTGAGATGAATGGACGCATCGTGGGCTCCAAGCCACTGTATGTTGCCCTGGCCCAGAGGAAGGAAGAGAGAAAGGCTCACCTGACCAACCAATATATGCAGCGGGTGGCTGGAATGAGAGCACTCCCTGCCAATGCCATCTTAAATCAGTTCCAGCCTGCAGCTGGTGGCTACTTTGTGCCAGCAGTCCCACAGGTGGGTCTGCTTTGTGGTCACGGCTCTTTGGAACCTGCCTACTGACAGCTGTTCCTGTATTCTACAGTAAGGGAGAGGGATTTTTGGATATGGGAGTTCTAGAATGTCAGAGTAAGGACCCTTCAAGTAAAACTGAGGAAGGACTTACACATACTCATACATACACTTAGTGGCAGGAGTAGAGTAAAATACTCCCCATTAACTGACCTCTTGGCTTTTGAGTATAGGGAGCCTTTATTCCAAATAGTTAGCCTAGGGCCTGGAGTGAGATGAGATACTTCTCTGGTGTGGGTTTAGGCCCTTAAAAGGGCTTGGTATTCTTTCTCACAGGCTCAAGGAAGACCTCCGTATTATACACCTAACCAGTTAGCACAGATGAGGCCTAATCCACGCTGGCAGCAAGGCGGGAGACCTCAAGGTAGGTGGTGGGGAACAATGATTTGGTCACCCATGATATACCTATCCTGGTTTCCCCTACCTTTCCTACTTGCCCCCTCCAAGGTGCAGTCTAGGTTCTGGTCCACATTGCTTGCCAGTGATGCACAATTTTTGTCTTTTCACCAGGCTTCCAAGGAATGCCAAGTGCTATACGCCAGTCTGGGCCTCGTCCAACTCTTCGCCATCTGGCTCCAACTGGTAATGCTCCGGCCTCTCGTGGCCTCCCTACTACTACTCAGAGAGTCGG